GCGGTGTGGCGCGAAAATGCCAGCGAACTTCTGTGTATATAGATTTCTCGTGATCCCAGGCTGCACGCGTTCGTTGCGCGAGCCGTTTTAGCATCAGAGTTCTGATGGGTCTACGGCGCAGCCTGCACGCCCGCCTGGGGATTTCTAGCGATGTGCGGAAGAAGCAGAAGCCGAATCGGTCACCCTGATACAATGTTAATTCACATGCTCCGCCCCCTCTGGGCCCACACCCTACCCCCGACGCTACATCGTCCTACCCTCATCCCGACTCTCCGTAGGTCCAGCGGGGAAAAGTGGACAATCGGCATGTACACTCGGGGTCGAATATCTGCGATTTCTGCACTAGCTGGAGAGCGGGCGCACGCAGCTGATTCTGACAGAATCGGCGGGGGACTAGCAAAGCTGGCGACTGCTGGACGGAATCCCAAAAACGCGCCAAGGTCAGTGGGCGTATGAGCTTAAGCCATGTGGTGTTATAACTGCTTGGAGCAGTTAAAACGCCACATTGCTTAAGTATTGCTTTCGTTGTGTCCCTCAGGGATCTGGCATCTACGCTCAGGCGTGGTTCTCTATTACCCCCGCTCTACCAAGCCGAGGCTGTATTTTGGAACAGCGATACGGGAGAACAGACGAGGGGGATGCTGTCGTTCCTGCTGCCCCGCGAAGTTTTAGAGAACACGGTCCCCGAAGGCAAGGAGGTTGAGTACTGCAACGACCCAGCGCAGCCAGCTTTGCACCAGACATTAGCACATGCGCTGGCGCGCCTGGGAGTTTCCAGCGACGAGGGTGCACCTATTGGCAGTATTGGAGTTTGGGGTGGCTCGGCGCCACACTTGAGCAACATGAGGGATTCGATCTTCCTGTTCGTCTGGAACTTGCTGACAGGCCCAGATAAAAAACGCTGGTGGATTTGCGCATTCCCAAAGTCCAAGGTCTGCCAATGTGGGTGCCACGGCCGTCACACGTTCAAGGCTGCCTGAGTTCCAATGGGAGGCGGGATGGAGGGGGGCGAGCACCGTCCCACACGTACACACAGACAGACAGACAGACAGACAGACAGACTGACAGACAGACAGACAGACCGACAAACCGACAGACAGACAGACAAACACGCACACACATACACTCGAAACATACTGCTTATATATACGTACCAGGTAGAGTGTGAGAGAGAGGTATAGAGAGAGACAGAGACAGAGAGACACTGACTTGGGAGGGGGGTTCAAGGATGCAGGGAGAGCTCATCCACCAGCTGGCGCTTGATTTTAAGTGCTTGCCTCCTAGGTGGTGTGGGATGTACTGGAGTGGAGCGCCAGACACTGGCTAGCTGGCAGTATGCCTTCGCGCCGCCACGACGGCGTCCCGCTCAATGATTCGGTGTATTATTCGGACAGGACGTGGAGAGCTAAACGGAGCAACGCACCATTTCGAATCCGTGGATTCGTATGTCAGGCACGAGGGGACTGGGCGTGGCTGAAGCAAGGACTCGGCCTATGCGGGTGGAACAAAGGAGACAGACCCGACACGCGGGTATGTTTCAAATGCTTGGCATGCGTCGGCAACTACCGTGACTTGCTGTAATCTCTCTTGCCCCACGTCCACTCCTCACCCTCTGCTCCCACATGTTCCCCTTCTCTCACGTCCCACTCCTCGCACCTTCAGTTTAACACATGTTTCCCTCCTCTCACGTCCCACTCCTCGCACCTTCAGTTTAAGAATGCCGTTGTATAGCCAGGTGACATATCACCGACAGCTGCTTGGAGAGGCACGCTGCAATCGCACGAGCAGTTTCTCAATGATACGTTGCGCAACCAGCGACACCTCGCTGGGCTGTTTCGGCTACCAGGGTTTGACATGTCGATGGTGGTTGCCGACCTTATGCATTGCTCATGCCTGGGCATTGTCCAGTACGTTCTCGGAAACATCATGTGGGAGCTTTTCACACACATGGGCGGGACATTCGACAGGCACGTCGTCGTATGTGGTCGTTTATGCGGATTGGTCAAAATGGCGGCCAAGCAACATCACATTCAAGCTCCGTTCGGACACTTATCGATAGGAATGATCAGGGCATCGCGTTCAGCACCACCGAAGCTCAAGCTCAAGGCTTCACGGGTGGACCAACTCGTTCTCCCCACAAAACAAACTAAACATACATGCAGGCAGGGTTGGTTAATCTCAGCTCTTTATGTGATGAGCTCATCATGTAATGAGCTGAGATTAACTAAATTATAGTTTCGTTCTCCCCCCCAGTCCTGGTTCATTCCCAGTTCCTCCTGCACTCTCCCATGTGGTGTTTCCCAGAACGCTCTAGGCCGCAGAGGGCAGAAGAATGCTCGAAGTCATGCCGTACTTGCTTACTGACTATTTCCCGATGGCGACAGATCGAGACACCATGAGATATGACATGGTCACTGCTCTGTGCCGCGTCTACGAGTCCCTGAAAAACTATGACCCTGCCCAATCCCACGTAGAAATCAGTAGGGCTGCCCACCAACATCTCGCTCTTTACAGGGCGTTTCACAGGATTTCCCTAATCCATGTGTGCCCGTATGGAACGTTTTACAGATGGTACCCCAAACACCATTTGTTTCTCCACTGCTGCACTGACCAGCAAAACCTGTTTGGTTCGGCCTCTTCGTACTGGGCCTACGCAGACGAGTCAGAGATAGGACAGTGCAGTGACATGGCAGAGTTTTGCAAGCCTGTCGCCATCACCACTTCTCTGCTCGAGAAGTATAGGGGGTCGCATTTTTAAGAGTGCGAGTTTGAACGAGGACGGGGCGGGCCTTGGCAGAAATTTGCAGCGCGATGCGGCTCCCTCTCGAACGTCCCGTTTCATTATCCACTTATGCCGTTCTCTACCTCCCTCTCTTCTTCTTCTTCCTCCTCCTCCTCCTCCTCCTCCCCTCCTCCCCCTCCTCCTCCTCCTCCTCCTCCTCCTCCTCCTCCTCCTCCTCCTCCTCCTCGGCTTCCTCCTCCTCCTCCTCCTCCTCCTCCTCCCTTCCATCCTCCTCCTTTGCATCTCTCCTCCCTCCTTCCCTCTCTCTGCCTCTCTTGCCCTTCCCTCCCTCCCTAAGAAGGGGTTCGGAAGAGCACTCAGGATGTGTGGTAGTGCGCACGCGATGTTAACACATATCTCCAGCTCGATTGCCAATCGATTCATACATATCGAAGGGGCCCTGGGACACACAAATAAATATACACAACAATATTTCCCATCTTTCCATATTATGTTCTGGGTTTGTGTCGTCCCCCCACCTCCCATATTTTGCTATATTTTCTTTGGGATCGACGATTATTGGTGTTTGTGTATTTGTGTCCCTCCACACACACACACATATATATATATATATATATATGGTTTATATACGAATTACCATATATGGTAAATCTACGGTACTCTTAAACATGAGGGTATTAGATATTAATGTTAAACACAATTTTTAATACATTTGTTCTTACGTCAGGTTTTTTTTAACATTTGCTTTGCTGTTGCACGGAATGGAAAATATCCAAAAATATGAAGAATAATGCGTGCTTAGTTTTTTTATTCAAAGATTTTTGGATTATTTTGCGCATCGTGCTCGAACGCGCGATTCCGAATAAATTTAGAAGAATGTGGGAAAAAGTAGACTTTCTACCAAAAGTTTTGGAGAATGGAAGGTCGGGGGAAGGAGGAGGAGCAGGCGGAGGAGCAGGAGGACGGGGAGGAGGGGGCTGCAGGCGCCATTCGGATTCCGAGGCCCGGCCGGCGTCTGGGAAGGCTGGCCCCACAGGGGGCGGGGCTCGCACGTCTGGGCTCGAGGCCCGAGCTCTGGCCGGTGCAGATCACCGGTGGAGCTGCCGCGGTCGGCCGTCCAGAGAACCCCCCGCCGGTGTCGGCGCCAGGCCCGGGGAGCGTCCGAGGGCTTGGGACCCTTGCGCTCCCAGCCCTCGCCGCGGCGACAAGCGCCACCCACCAAACCACCCCAACCCAACCCGAAGGCTCAGATTGACCCTCGATTTCCAGTGTGGGAGGGGGGTCGGGAAGTCGAACAAAACACCTATGGAACCCTTACCCCCCCCCAACCCGAAATTCGGGTCTTCGGCGGGTTGGGTTGGGGTGGTCTGGTAGGTAGTCAGACAAGCGCCGACTTCGAGAGCTTGCAGCGACAACAAATCTTGCCATATGGGAAATCCAGGGGCCTGCGCGGCCCCCCACGGCCAGGGGGGGGGGGGGACGAGAAGCCCCCGGGGGCTGCTGGCAGCCTGGTGCCTGATCCTGCTGTGCCCGCAGTCGGGCCGTTCGTTACACGGACTTTGCCCAGGAGGGGAAAAAACACACAGACACAATTAATCGTTGACCCCCAGGAAAATATGGGAAAATATGGGGAGTGGGGGGGAAGACAGACACCCAGAACATATAGGAACATATGGGGAATAGTTTTACTTGTGTGTATTTATTTGTGTGTCCTGGGGCCCCTTCGCACATGCACTTCCCAACTGGTGCCCCACCTCCTCTCCGGACCCTGGACTCCTTACCCGGTGTTAATCCGTGGGGGGCGGGCTGTCTTGCCCATTTTCAGGGACCACGCCTCTGGGGCGTGACAGCGAGGCGATGGCGACAGCTGCTTGTCTCTTTTGATCACTGGCCAGCGAGTTCAAACAACATCGTGAATCGGCCCTCTAAGCGAACGAACAAACTGCCATACGCCGGAGCGCGTGGGCAAAAGACAACGCCAGCCTGAACTCGCCGCTTTGCGGGAGCGACTGCACGTCGGCTGTCTCATAATGCACAGCGTGCGCGATTGGAGGAGGAGGAGGAGCAGCAGCAGCAGCAGCAGCAGCAGCAGCAGCGGCAGCAGCAGGAGGGGAGGGAGGAGGAGCGAGAAAGGAGCGAGAAAGGAGGGAGGAGGAGCGAGAAAGGAGGGCCCTCTAAGCTGCCCCAAAACAGAAATCCCCACTCGCTGCCGCGCCCGTGCTGCACGCCCGAGCGCCCGTGGCTGCCCGCGCGGGAGGCCTGCTCGGCGCCGGCCACCTCGGCGGCGCTGGCCGCCGTGGCGGCCCCGACGCCCGCGACCCCTGCGTGACGGAGGAGGCCCCGCCGCGGGGGCCGCCAGCGGGGGCTGCCGCCGCAGCCCCGCTTCTCCTGCCCTCCTCGATCCTCTGTGCCTCGAGCCCCCAGCAGAGGCTCGAGCCTCGCGCCTCGATATTTCGACCCTGGAGCCTGGATCCTCGACCCTCTAGCCTCGAGCCTCGAGCCTCGATGCCCGAGCCTCGAGCCTCGATCCCCCGGCGTCGGCGTCCGCCGCTCCGCTGCCCCCGTTCCGCGGGTGCAGGAGGGCCCCGGCACACCTCTGGTGCTGCGTGTGCCCTTTCCTTCTCGCTGTGTCTCTGATTAGCGAATTGGCCGTTTTCGGTTCGCGAGAGGGCCTCGCGGCCGCCATTTTTGCGGCTCCAGGTCCGTCGGTTTCGGCCCTGGGCCGTTTCATTAAAGGGTGGTTTGCTAAAGAGAGGGTTGTCCACCGCCGATAATTGTTTCGCAGCTTGCCTAACGCTTTCCGGAGGTATTCGATGGGAAGTCGAAGTTGAGCTTGTGGAAAACAGGGGGCCTCGTGCCTTCTTTCGGGCTCCTCAGGCCAACGCCCCGACTGTACACCCTAGGCGATGCTTAAGAAAACTTAAATGTTCGGCCAGAGTCTTGATTATTCTTAATGTTTCAATGCAAATCCTAAGATTTGAATCGACATTCTGGGTTTTTATTCAAGTTCTGAGGCTATGAATTTCTCTAAAGCATTTCGCAGGGTGTATGGCGCCGACCCCAAATCAAAACACGACGACGGCGGCGGCGGCGACGACGACGAGGGGCCGCCAGTGCCCAGGAAAGGCTTGGCCAGGGCCGGGGGACCCACAGGAGCTCCGTGGGCACCTCGGGAGCACATCGCCAAGACCGGCGACGACGCTGCCCCAGGAGCTCTTCGGGCAAGGTAGATGTCGGGCGTGTCCCCCATACAGGGGGATTTTCGACGACAAATGAAAAATACCCAAAAATGCCCCGAAAGGGCCAAAACATATTTCAAACATAGTCCCCAGACTATGTTTGGATTATTTTGGGGGTATTTTTTATTTTTTTATTTTTCGTCGAACATGCCCCTGTAGGGGGACAGGCCCGACCTAAGGCAAGGTCCACTGGTTTACGCCGTGCTGCCGACCCCTCGGACGCAGCGGATGCCTCTCGTCCGGGGGGCGTTGGTCGTGGAAGCGTCCAGGCGCCGTGCATCCATGTGTGGGAAGCCCAGCCGTGCTCAGAGCGAGCATCGTTGGATCGTCCGGCGGCCCTCTCGGGGGCAGCTTGGGGCCTCCTCCTCCTCCTCCTCCTCCTCTTTCTCCTCCTCCTCCTCCCTCCTCTTCCTCCTCCTCCTCCTCCTCCTCCTCCTCCTCCTCCTGTCTCGTGGCTGCGTCGTCCTGTGTCGTCTTCGGGCGCTTTCGAGCCGCATGGCCTCAGGATCTCCTCCTGGCAGGGTTCTCTTCGCATGCGTCTACTGTGGATCTCGCCGCACTGGCCACTGCCTACACGACGACGGTGGTGGCGGCGACGATGGCGGCGGCGGCGGCGAGCCGCTGTTAAATCCGCTGGTTGTGGCCAAGCACGCTTCTGCGCGACTCGCTAGCCACGTCCCCATCCCCGAGCATCAACGTCCCGAGCTGCCTCCAGCGGCCCCCCCCTCGCCCGCGGAGCGGAGCGACACGCTGTCCGCTTGCAGGGCATAGCGTGCCGCTGGGGCCGCCGCCGCGGCACGCCAAGCAACAGTTTCGACTGGACGTAAGAGTGACCTTTCGCCGGAGTGACCTTTGGTGCGGGCGCAGATGGTCCCCCAGATGGCTGAACGCGAAGCGGCAGCAGCGGCTTGCGCGCCCAGGTCTGGTCTCCCCGCGGCCCCCAAAAAGCCGCGCACCAAAGGTCACTCTTACCCAAGGGTCACTCTTACGTGTAGCCGACAGCTCCTGACCGCAGATCTCGTCGCCCCGGCCACCAGCACGACGGCGGTGGCGGCGACGGCGGCACAGGATGGACCCAGGAGCGGTCGAGGCTGGGCCTGGCTAGAGACGGTGGATGTGCACGGCAGGCTCGCATCGTGTCGACGCCTCGGCGACCTCGCCGCGGGCACTCCAGCTTCAGCGCCGGCGGTGGCCGAGAGCCGATCGATGTTAGAGATCGAACGGTCCGCCGCTTCGCAGAGCGCGACCGCTCGGGGTGTGGCGCTCCACGCGGCGTCGGAAGTCAGCGCCAGGCTCGTCACGACGCAAACTCGCCGTGCACATCGCGTCGCCCCTGCCAACCACCGGCGCGGCGGCGGCGGCGGGCCGCCGCTGGCCCAGGAGGCGGGCGGCGTGGCGCCGCACACCGGCTGCGGCGGCTTCTTCTCGCAGGGCGGCCCCACCTCGGAGCGCGGGGGCGGGCAGGGGCGCGTGCCGCCCGCCATCGGCGGCGCAGCCCAGGGGGGAGGGCAGAGCCCACGCACGTCGACTAGACGTAAGAGTGACCTTTCGCCGGAGTGACCTTTGGTGCGGGCACAGATGAGCCCCCGGGTGGCTCAAAAACGAAGCAGTCGCAGCTGGTGGCGCGCCCAGGTCTGGCCCCTCGCGGCCCCCGAAAAGCCGCGCACCGAAGGCCGCTCTTACCCAGGGTCACTCTTGCGTGCAGCCGAGCACGGCCGCGCGCACGCGGCCGCCGCCGCTGCCGCGCGCGGCCGTGCGGGGGCGCGTGGCCCCCTGCACTCACCACCCACCAAACCACCCCAACCCAACCCGAAGGCTCAGATTTACCCTCGATTTCTAGTGGGGGGGTCCGGGAACATCGAAAAAACACATGTGGAGCCCATACCCCCCCCAACCCGAAATTCGGGTCTTCGGGTTGGGTTGGGGTGGTCTGGTAGGTAGTCACGCACGGCCTCCGCTGCCAGCCGCCGCGCGGGAGAAGGCGCGCTCTGGCCGCGCGGCGGCGGAGCAGCTCCCGGCGGGCCTGGGCAGCTCTTTGGCCTCCGGGGGCCCTCGCCTCGGCGTCGCTCGGGCGTGTGCATCTTTCCTTCGGCGAGGACCATCGAGGAGCATCCTTGATCACTTGACGAAAAACACTTCTTGAGTTTGCATATCGCAGGTCGGCTCTTGGGGTGCTCCTGGTTTGCCTGGCGTGTCTTTCAATCGCATGGCGGCTGAGTTTGTAAGCAGTATACAGATCATTTGCTGAATAATGCTTTGCGGTGGCTGTAAGTGAGGAATAAAAAAATTGACGAAAAACACGCACGAAACCGAACAAAAACACACGGAATGGACGTCCGAGCGATGGCGAGTCGCCAGGCCCCGCCAAGCAACGGCCCGGGGTGAGAATCCGGTTCCGGGGAATGCGTCGAGACCTTTGGGGGTCGACGCCGTGAAGCAATCTCATGACTCCGGGGGCGTGGGTTCTCAGAAGGCTCAGCAAGCTTCCAGCCTTCTGGGAATGCCTTCTGAGAGAAGTCCCGCTGCCTTCTGAGAAGCCTGCCCCCTCTCACCCTCGTTGCGCCACCGGCCCTCCGCTTCCCTCAGGTCCAGAGGGAAAGGGGGAGAGGAGAGCAGCAGTGAGGGGTATCGGAGGGAGGAAAAGCGACACGGATACCACCAGGGGGGCCACCTCCGGAGAGGAGGTCCACGATGCCCCCCCGAGCTGGAGGCTGGGGAGGATGCCGCGAGCGAGAGGGGGAGACCACGCCACCAGGGAGACCCCCCTTGCTCCTCGCATATCCTCGCCCTGGTGGCGTTGGTGTGGGTAGGGGGGGGTATGAAGGGGGCAGGGAGGGCAGAGGCCTGGGAGGGGAGGGTGGCGAGATGGCTCGTTTGAGGTGGCTGGCCCGCGGACTTGCGGCGACGGTCCCATTGGGCCAGGCGTCGGTGCCCTACACGTGTTTGTTTAGCCTTATACGGGGGCGCGTCTCCCGGCCGTGGGGCCGCTCAGAAGGAAGAGCGGGAAGCCCAGGAAGCGGTCGAGACCCCGGGGGTCGCACGTTGCCCAGGAGCTGCGCCGTCGGAGGAGAGAGGGCCTTCCTCCAGGAGCACTCGTGAACGTGCGGTCGCGTGTCGCTCGCCAGTCCTGGCCCACCACGCTTCGGCGCGACATGCTATTCAATTATTTAACCGCTTCGCTCATTCCGCCGGCCCATGATGAGGCACCGCGGTCGATTGGGCGAGAGGTCGTCGGCAGTGCGGAGCTGCAGGGGTCGGCGCATGTTTTTTTCTGAGGCGTTGCGTTCGGGATGGTGGTGTTGAAGTTGCCCCCGCGAAACAGCTTCGCGTCGACCTTCTGAGGAGGTGTCGGGGGAATCGTTGTTTCCACGGGGCTTCTAGGTTGTGCCGCTCTGGGGTGTCCCTGGCGCCTTTGTGGGGGCTCGTTGCTCGTGGACGCTCATGCGGGGGCCATGAACACAGTGTAACTGTTGCGACAGGTATGCCACTCGACGTGAGAGGGAAAAGAGAAAAAGAGAGAAAGAGAGTGGCGGCTCTTGGGGCCTCTTGGGGGCTTCTTGGGGCGTCCTGGATGCCTCTTGGAGCGGAAGGCTCGGATTTTCGGCTCCTGGTCTCCATCTTGGGCTCCACTTGGGGCCCTCTTGGGCCGTCTTGGGCGCCTTTTGGGCTGTCTTGAAGCTCTTTGGGGGGCCTCTTAGGCCGTCTTGGGGTGGTCTTGGGGGCTTCTTGGGGGCCTCTTGGGCCGTCTTGGAGTATCGGAAACGCGAAAAGGCGAGGAAGCCAAAAACCTTCAGAAACCTAAGGGAATTCACTGAATTTTGCCTCTTGGGGCTCCGTTTTGGAGCCTTTTGGGATCTCTTTCGGGCCTCTTGGCGCCTCTTGGGGCCTCTTGGGGGCTTCTTGGGGCGTCCTGGAGGCATCTTGGAGCGGAAGGCTCGGATTTTCGGCTCGTGGTCTCCATCTTGGGCCCCTCTTGGGGCCCTCTTGGGGCCTTCTTGGGCGCCTTTTAGGCTGTCTTGGGGCCCTCTTGGGCGGTCTTGGGGCTCTCTTGGGGGCCTCGTGGGCTGCCTTGGGGTGGTCTTGGGGGCCTCTTGGGCCGTCTTGGAGTGTCGGAAACGCGAAAAGGCGAGGAAGCCAAAAACCTTCAGAAACCTAATGGAAATCACTAAATTTTGATCTTGGGGCTCCGTTTTGGAGCCTTTTGGGGTCTCTTTCGGGCCTCTTGGCGTCTCTTGGGGCCTCTTGGGGGTCTCTTGGGGCGTCCTGGAGGCCTCTTGGAGCGGAAGGCTCGGATTTTCGGCTGCTGGTATCCATCTTGGGCCCCTCTTGGGGCCCTTTTGGGGCCCTCTTGGGCACCTTTTAGGCTGTCTTGGGGCCCTCTTGGGCGGTCTTGGGGCTCTCTTGGGGACCTCTTGGGCCGTCTTGGGCTGGTCTTGGGGGCCTCTTGGGCCGTCTTGCAGCGTCGGAAACGCGAAACGGCGAGGAAGCCAAAAACCTTCAAACACCTAAGATAATCAATGAGTTTTGCCTCTTGGGGCTCCGTTTTGGAGCCTTTTGGGGTCTCTTTCGGGCTCTAGCCTTTGGGGGGCCTCTTGGGGCGTCCTGGAGGCCTCTTGGAGCGGAAGGCTCGGATTTTCCCTCTTGGGGCCTTCTTGGGCGCCTTTTAGGCTGTCTTGGGGCCCTCTTGGGCGGTCTTGGGGCTCTCTTGGGGGCCTCTAGGGCCGTCTTGGGGTGGTTTTGGGGGCCTCTTGGGCCGTCCTGGAGTGTCGGAAACGCGAAACGGCGAGGAAGCCAAAAACCTCAAGAACCTAATGGAATTCACTGAGTTTTGCCTCTTGGGGCTCCGTTTTGGAGCCTTTTGGGGTCTCTTTCGGGCCTCTTGGCGTCTCTTGGGGCCTCTTGGGGGTCTCTTGGGGCGTCCTGGAGGCCTCTTGGAGCGGAAGGCTCGGATTTTCGGCTCCTGGTCTCCATCTTGGGGCCCTTGTGGGACCCTCTTGGGCACATTTTAGGCTGTCTTGGGGCCCTCTTGGGCGGTCTTGGGGCTCCCTTGGGGGCCTCTTGGGCCGTCTTGGGGTGGTTTTGGGGGCCCCGTTGGACAAGGTGACGCCCTCCGCTGTCCCCGTTTGTTGGGGCCTCTTCGGTCTTAAGTCACATCCGACGGTGTTAGAGCAGCATCAGGAGCCACCAAACTGGGGCAGGGGGGTATCTGAAGGACCCTGCCCCCTCCGTCGAGGCTCTGCTGCCCGCAAGGCGTCGCTGGAAGGCAGGAGGACTTCTAAACCAGGTCCAGCCTCTCAGGGGACCGCCCGGCTTGCTTTGCCACCTTCCTGCGCGCCGCCACCCCCTCGCGCGCACGTGGCCACAGGGGGGGGTCTGCAGACGGCACTCCGCGCAGCGGCGGCCGCTCGCGCACGGCTGCCAGGGACCGCCCCCGCGACGAGGGGATCCCATGCCTCCAGCGCCTCCAGAAGGTCGAGACGAAGGTTTCTCGCCGTTTCCGGACCCCCCACACATTTGGTGGCAACGACGGCGACGGCGGTGGCAGTGGCGACGACGGCGGCGACGGCCGTCGCGGTTTTTGCTCGCGGCGCCTGCGCAGGCCTGCGATGCCATGGCTGTGTTTCCTTACGTGGGCCCCCGCCCCTGTGACCTCTCTCTGACCCCCTCCCCCCGCGGGGACCCGCGCTCACCCACCTCCCCGGGGGCCCCCACTCGGGGCCGCCCAATTGGACCCCAGAGCACATGAGGTCGGAGCATCGCGCCGCATCGCCCATGCATCGGCGATGCGGCTCGATGTGGGGCCCGATTTTGACGGCTGCACGCCGACGTCGCCGATGCATTGGCGATGCGGCGCGATCCGCCGGCCCCACGTACTCGGCCCCCCTCTGAGAGGCTTCAAGGGGCGGCCCCCTATTCAACGAAAACTCGGCGGCGGACGTCCAGCGCGGCTCCCTCGGCAGCGCCACCGAAACGCGTAGACCCAGTGGCGAGAGTTGCGGCAGCGCGTGGCGACGGGGTGGGCAGGGGAGAGCGGCAAGTGGCCGGGAGGGCGCCCAGTGTGCCTGCATCGGCCAGAGCCCAGGTCTGCTGTGCAAATACTCTGCTGGTTGGCGCTGACGGCAGACGCCCCCTCGTCTGCCGGCGAAGCCTTTTTTTTGCGGCGCGGGGCCATGGTGGTCTCGACCTTTCTTTTCCAGGGACCAGTTTTTCATCCCGGGCCGCTTTTTTGACGACCCCCGGGCTGGGAAAAGGCCCCCACAGGCCGTCGCGAGGTTTGTTTGTTGGTGCCGCGAGGTCTGGGGCGCGAGGCGGGGTCAGCTCGCGCCAGGAAGTGCCGAGGAGGGAAGCCCCCCAGGACTCCCAGAGACGCCCAGCTCCTCGAGCCTCCCTTCCCCTCGGCCCTCGATGTCCAGGAGGAGGTGGTGATCCCCCCCCCGTGGCGACCCCGGGTAGTTGTCTGGAGTGCGAGGGTGGCCCCGCGGCCGCTGACGCCCACCGCGGCCGAGGCGCGCTCGGCGGCTAAGGCGCGGCGGGCGGCCACGGCCGTGCGGGGCGCGACGGCGGCGGACGCGGCCTCGCCGACGGGGCGCTTGCCAGCTCGACGGCGGTGGCGGCGAGAGGCGGCAGGAAGCGCCCCAGCTCGTGGGCGCACCGTGCCAAGCCGACGGGCACGTCCGCAGCGGTGCAGCGGGGGTCGGAGGAAGTCCCCGCCGAGCTCGCGCGGAGTCGCTGCCGGGTGCTTCGTGATGGCAGTTGCAGCGAGCACGCATGATCCCCACAACCACCGCCATCGTCGCCCTCATCATCATCAGCATCATCATCATCATCAGCAGCAGCATCATCATCAGCAGCATCAGCATCTTCATCATCAGCAGCAGCATCAGCATTATCATTTTCGTCATCATCATCGTCATCATCGTTATCATTATCATCATCATAATCAGCAGCATCATCATCATTAGCAGCATCATCAGCGGCAGCAGCATCAGCATCATCATCACAATCGCCGTCATATTCATCATCATGATCATCATCATCAACACCATCATCATCAACACCATCATCATCATCATCAGCATCATCATATTCATCATCCGATGCATCATCCGATTCATCGTCATCAGCATCATCATCATCATCATCATCATCATCAGCATCATCGTCGTCATCATCATCATCGTCAGCAGGCGAGTGGGAGCGCGGGGAGGCGGCGCGCGGAGGCTTCCGAGGCCTGCGCCTGATCACCTTCGCCCGCGGCCTCGAGACGCCAGCACGCCAAGACGACACGTGCTTGATCGGCGAGTCGGTAGCGTTGAACCGCTCCCCATCCCCATCCCCATCCCCATGCCCTTCGAGACACCCACGCAAATTGCCACCCCAGTTGGGGATGCACGCCTCGAAGCCCGAAGAGGACGACCTCTATATCCCCATCTGGGGGGGCAAATCGGCCGGTGGGGCCCAGGCCACGCTGATGGGAATGGGGATCAGTTGAGCGATACTTGGCGAGCTGTCTCAACTCGCTGAGGTTTGGCCGTTCCTCACCGAGGCGCTGAGCCAGCGTGGCCACGAGATTAGCCTGACGAAGTCCGAAGTCTGGCTCCCAGCATGCGATCACATAGAGATCGGGGACATCTGGGCTGCACATCGGCGAGGCTTCGAAGATCTACCTATGGCGTTTGGCGGCTTGGAGGGCAAGGGAAATGTCGCGCAGGCGTCCTACGAGACATTCTTGGGCCCTGCACAGCTGGCGCTCCAACCAGCATATGAGCGCCTGTGGAAGCCGGAGCGTCTGGGCCAGCGCCTGCCGAGGTTCCTCGAGAAGTCGGCGGACTCGCGCTGCGTCAGCATCACCGGGTGGCTGCTGAGTACGTGTGTGAAAGGGGGCGCTATATCCTACGGCATCCGCATCATTCCGGCAGTCGCTGTGGACCCGCTGGCGGCTCGCCTCGAGACGTGCATCCGCAAGGTCGCAGCGGCCATCGCGGGCAAAGGCATCGACGCGGCAGCTTGGGCGCGTCTGCGGCTGCCTGGGCCGCTGGGCGGGATGCCGTCAAGACTCCCCTCCCTGAGCGCGGATGCAGCCTTCCTGGCCACGTGCATGAGCACGCGGGCCACGGTCCAGGTCGTCTGCGCGGAGCTCGGGCGCCCTGCGCGTGGCGCTGCGGCCCCGGCCAGCGCGGTTTCGCACCCCGAGGCCGGGCGCCAGGCGGCGGGCGCGGACGCCGACGTGGCGAGTGGCACGGCTGAGATGGCGGCCGCCCAGACCAAGTGCGCGTCTGGCCCATGGGGGTGACGATGCGTGAGTTTCAGGAGGGGAAACAACACACAGACACAATTGATCGTCGATTCCCCAGGGAATATGGGAAAATATGGGAAGTGGGGGGGGGGGAAGACAAAAGCCCAGAACATATGGGAAAATATGGGGATTGTTTTGTTTTATTTGTGTGTATTTCTTTGTGTGTGTCCCGGGGCCCCTTCAGAGTTGACGTGCTCACGCGTCTTCGCCGCCGTGCGCCGTCGGCGAGGTGCGAGGCCCGGGCGCGCGGTTGCACAGCCGCAGCATTCGCCGCGCGTGCGAGGCCCTGGGCGGCGAGGGCCTTCCAGGCAACTGAGCCGGAGGTCGTGCGCGAGGTCCTCCTTCACGAGGGAAAGAATCAGCGAGCGAAAAAAGGTATAACATAATTTTTTTCGCTGTCGGGGGCGCTTGTCCCTGGGCGGTTGGGAAGTTTATACCCCTACGGTGCCACCGTAAGGGTATAAATTTTCCAGCCGCCCTGGGGCAGGTGTCCCCGACGGCGAAAAAGTTTATGTTATACTTTTTGTTCGCCCGTTAAAAGAAACACACATATACAATTAATCCTCGAGTGGCCAGAAAATATGGGAAACTATGGGAAGTGGGGGGGAAGACGAAAACCCAGAAACTATGCGAACATATGGGAATCCTGTTATTTGTGCGTATTTATTTGTGTGTCCCAGGGCCCCATTCACTCCTCTCCATCGGCGGCCCGCACGCTGGCAAGGTGTGGTCGCAGCCTCCGCGGCACACGGCAGAGTGCATGGACGACGACCACTTCCGCCTGGCGCTCCGACGTCGACTCGGCATCGCCCCGAAGCCCCGCAAGCGGCCGTGTGCCAGGTGCCCTGGGCTGGCAGAGGGAGGAGGAGGAGGAGGAGGAGGAGGAGGAGGAGGAGGAGGAGGAGGAGGAGGAGGAGGAGGAGGAGGAGGAGGAGGGAGGAGGAGGAGGAGGAGGAGGAGGAGGAGGGGGAGGGGGAGGGGGAGGGGGAGGGGGAGGAGGAGGGGCAGGCCGCTGCCTCACGCCGCCGTCGGCCCCGTGGGGCCACCCGCGCGCGAGAGCAACGTGGGCCCGGGCCGCTCTGCATGAGAAAGCGCGGGTGCTCCGAAGGTGCCGAGCGCGCCGTGCCTTCGGCATCGCTCGGACGTGTGCATTTTTTCACCACCCACCAAACCACCCCAACCCAACCCGAAGGCCTCAATCTGCCCTCAATTTCCAGTGGGGGGGGATCGGGGAACGTCGGAAAAACACATGGTCCCCGTACCCCCCCCCAACCCGAAATTCGGGTCAAATTCGTGCCTTCGGGTCGGGTTGGGGTGGTCTGGTAGGTAGTCATTTTTCCCGGCGAGAACCATCGAGGACCCTCCTGGAGCAGCGAGCAGAAAAAAACACGCACAAGAAACCGGACAAAAACACGGGACATGGACGTCCGAGCGACGGCAAGGTGCCGAGCTTGTACCGAGTCAGCCGAGAAGGAGAGAGAGGTGGCCGAGGCTATCCTGGGCGTTGCCGTGTCTCTCCCAGGGGGCCTCTCGTCTTTCTTCCTCGACGTGGCCGTGCGCTGCCCGCACAGCGCCCGCAGTGCGCAGGGAGCTCGCGCCGCGGCGTCCGGGGCCGCCGTGGCAGCGGCGGACGAGAAGCTCATAAGCTTACGCTGTACGGCGGCCAGGTCTCGGCCGTGTCCGCCCAGACTTACGGCAAGCTCGGGGCCGTCAGCCAGGCCAACCTCCGCCGCGTTGCTGACATGGCTGCCTCGCGAGGCGGCGTGCTCGGCAAGAGCGGTGGGGGGCTCTTTGCACCATGGAGGTGGTATCTCGAACCGCGCTGGCAGTGGCAGAGAGCGGCTCATGTCTCATGCGCTGCACCGGATCTCACGGTCTAGTTTAAGCTGCTGGTGGCAGCTTCACCGGATCTCAGCGTCCGCATCTCCATCACTCTTACGCTTGCCACCACCATCATCATTCCCCAGCCATCATTTAGCATCCATCGCTCACCACCCATCATCAGCCCCCCCACCGTCACCATCAGCATCACCTTCGTCAACATCATGTTCGCCGCCGTCACAACCGCCACCATCACCACCACCACCACCACCACCACCACCATCTCCATCACCATCGGCATCGGCATTGCCAGCATCACCACCACCTGGTGGCCAACTTTTCACCGCCCACCAAACCACCCCGAGCCAACCCGAAGGCCCCAATTTGCCCTCCATTTCCAGTTGGGGGGTGGGTCTGGGAACGTTGAGAAACACACGCATGAAGCCCGTACCCCCCCCAACCCGAAATTCGGGTCTTCGGGTTTAGTGGGGGTGGTTTGGTAGGTTGCCAACCTTGGCGCTGCCCGAGGGGTCTGGGCGCCTCCTCCTCCTCCGCCTCCTCCTCCTCCTCCTCCTCCTCCTCCTCTTCCTCCTCCTCTCCCCCCCCCCGCGGAGGACGGCGGGGGCGCGAGCCTCCGCAGCTTGTGGGCGCCCCCGGCGGCCCAGGAGGCGCCGCCCGTGCTGGAGGACCGCGGGCGCGGCGCGGGCTCGGGGCGCGGAGCCGCCTCAGCAGGGAGGTCAGAGGCGGAGGAGGAGGAGGAGGAGGAGGCGGATGATGATGATGATGATGATGATGATGATGATGATGATGATGATGATGATGATGATGATGATGATGATGATGATGATGATGATGAATGATGATGATGATGATGATGATGATGCTGATGATGATGATGATGATGCTGATGCTGCTGATGATGATGATGATGATGTGATGATGATGATCATGCTGATGATGATGATGATCATCATGCTGCTGCTGATGATGATGATGGTGATGATGATGATGCTGCTGCTGCTGCTGATGATGCTTGTGATGATGCTGATGATGATGATGATGATGGTGATGGTGACAACGATGATGAGGATGATAATGATGATGATGAAGAAGAAGAGGAGGAGGAGGAGGAGGAAGAGGAGGAGGAGGAGGCGGGATGATGATGATGATGATGATGATGATGATGATGATGATGATGATGATGATGGTGGCTGCTGATGATGATGCTGATGATGCTGGTGATGATGCTGATGATGATGATGATGATGATAATGATGATGATGATGATGATGATGATGATGATGATGATGATGATGATGGTGATGGTGACAACGATGATGAGGATGATGATGATGATGATGAAGAAGAAGAAGAGGAGGGGGAGGAGGAGGAGGAGGAGGAGGAGGAGGAGGTGGAGGAGGAGGAGGAGGGGGAGGAGGAGGGGGTGTTTTACTGAGCGTGGCGAAGGAAGAACGAGGCATTCCTCTTCTCCGTGCTCTGCTGGGGGTGCTGCCCATCGATGAACGGAGCCCAGGATGCACGGCCAGCACCAAGCGACTCCTTGTCCTCACAGGGCTCCTGCCGTGTAGGGGGTTTCGTCGGCTTCCGGGGCCCCTCTTGGGGCCGTCTTGGGGCGCTCTTGGAGGCTTCTCTGACCGTCTTCGGGCTTTCGGCCGCGTGGGCCGTTTTGGGGCGACCTTGGGCGCCTCTGGGGCCATCTGGGACGCTTTCGAAACTGAAAGCAGCCAATACGCAAAAGTAAGTACACGTCTCCCATTGGGATTGGGACGATGGTTTCTTTCTTTGGGCCTTTCTTTCGGGAGCCCTCCTGGAGCCCCCTGGGGGCGTCTCGGGGGGCGCTCGCTGCTGTTTGGAGCGAGCTGGAGCTGTCCCCCTTCAAAACCGACGGGACGGGGCTCCTGGGGGAGGGGTCTGGGGAGGGCGCGCCCAGCAGATCCCAAGGGGTCCGCGCATTGTGGCCTACTGTATTTGGACTCTGTTGGGGGTGCTTGTGGGGCTCTCTGGGGGCGTCTGGGAGAGTCTTGAGACCATCTCGGGCGGCTGGGGGAGATCTTTGGGCGGCTCGGCGCGCCAGTGGACCGTCCGGGTGTCCTTTTGAGGGGGTCCTCTTCGATTGTTCCCAGCCATCTTGTGGTGTCGGGTCCTCGTTTTGAATAGACAGCGCCCCGCGTCCCTCCCTCCCTCCCGCCTCATAGGGAGCTTCACCTAAGGTCCCAGTGGCGCAGTTCGCATGGCGCCGCCGCCCCATTTTGGCACACCCCCCACACGTTTCGTGGCCCCACAGGGAGTTCCACCTAAGGTCCCAGTGGCGCAGTCGCAGTTCACATGGCGCCGCCGCCCCGTTTTGGGACATCCCTCACACGCTTCGTGGCCCCATAAGGAGCTCCACCTAAGGTCGTCGTGGCGCAGTTCGCATGGCGCCACCGTCCTATTTTGGCGCACCCCTCACAAGTTTCGTGGCCCCATAAGGAGCCCCACCTGGGGTCGCAGTGGCGCAGTTCGCATGGCGCCGCCGCCCCATTTTTGGCACACCCCTCACACGTTTCGTGACCCCAGAAAGAGCGCCACCTAAGGTTGTCGTGGCGCAGTTCGCATGGCGCCGCCGTCCCATTTTGGCACACCCCTCACACGTTTCGTGACCCCAGAGGGAGCTCCACCTAAGGTCCCAGTGGCGCAGTTTGCATGGCGCCGCCGCTCCATTTTGGCACACCCCTCACACGTTTCGAGGCCCCAGAGGGAGCTCCACCTAAGGTCGCAGTGGCGCAGTTCGCATGGCGCCACCGCCCCATTTTGGCACATCGCTCACACGTTTCGTGGCCCCACAGGGAGGTCCACCCAAGGTCGCAGTGGCGCAGTTCGCATGGCGCCGCCGCCCCATGTTGGGACACCCCTCACACGTTTCGCAGTCCCAGTAGGGCGCCCCACCTGGGGTCGCAGTGGCGCAGTTCGCATGGCGCCGCCGCCCCATTTTGGCGCATCCCTCACACGTTTCGTGGCCCCATAAGGAGCCCCACCTGGGGTCGCAGTGGCGCACTTCGCATGGCGCCGCCGCCCCATTTTGGGACACCCCTTACAAGTGTTGTGGCCCCACAGGGAGCTCCACCTAAGGTCGCAGTGGCGCAGTTCGCATGGCGCTGCCGCCCCATTTTGGGACACCCCTCACACGCTTCGTGGTCTCATAGGGAGCTCCACCTAAGATCCCACTGGCGCAGTTTGCATGGCGCCGCCGCACCATTTTGGCACACCCCTCACACGTTTCTTGACCCCAGAGAGCTCCACCTAAGATCCCAGTGGCGCAGTTCGCATGGCGCCGCCGCCCCATTTTGGCACACCCCTCACACGTTTCGTGGCCCCACAGGGAGCTCCACCTAAGGTCGCAGTGGCGCAGTTCGCATGGCGCCGCCGCCCTATTTTGGCACACCCCTCGCACGCTTCGTGGCCCCAGTAGGGCGCCCCACCTGGGGTCGCAGTGGCGCAGTTCGCATGGCGCCACCGCCCCATTTCGGCGCATCCCTCACACGTTTCGTGGCCCCACAGGGAGCTCCACCTAAGGTCGCAGTGGCGCAGTTCGCATGGCGCCGCCGCCCCATGTTGGGACACCCCTCACACGTTTCGCAGTCCCATAGGGAGGTCCACCCAAGGTCGCAGTGGCGCAGTTCGCATGGCGCCGCCGCCCCTGTTTGGCACACCCCTCATTCGTTTCGTGGCCCCAATAGGGAGCTCCACCTAAGGTCCCAGTGGCGCAGTTCGCATGGCCAGGAGGAGGAGGAGGAGGAGGAGGAGGAGGAGGAGGAGGAGGAGGAGGAGGTGCACACGTACCCATCCCCGTGCCCGGCAGGAGCGGTCAGGGCGACAATGTGCAGGACACATTTCCAGCGTTGAATAGTTTAATCGGAGACCGTTCAGACTTCGAGCGCTTCGTGCGTCAATCTGACCCCAGATCTCCCGACGACGCGACGACGACGACGACGACGACGACGACGACGACGACTCATCCACAATCAGACTCACTCGCTCTCAGTCTCTCGCACACAGACATATCGTACATTTTCGCTCGCGTTGTGTGCCCCGCCACGCATGTCGGCGCGCCCCTCGCGCGGTTCGTGGTCCCATAGGGGGCGCGGGCGAAGATGAGATTCAGACTTGCGGTATTCACAACTGCATATGGTTGGGTCCTTCGCCAGGCGAATGCTTGGGGGGCATGTGGTCTGGCCTCGGAAAAAGTTGGGTTGTTTCCCCAATCATCTTATGGTGTTGAGTTTTCGTTGTTTGTTTTACACACAGCGCCTCACCTTCTTCCTTCCTCCTCTTCGCCCTCCTTGCCTATGCCCTCCTCATGGTTTTGTTTCGGCACGCCTCTCACACGCTTCGTGGCCCCATAGCGAGCTCCACCGACGGCCCCAGCAGCTGCGCTGGCACGCGCCCACCGCACCCATTTTGGGACACCTCTCACACCCTTCGTGGCCCCATAGGGGGCTCCACCGACGGACCCAGTGGCTGCGTTGGCATGCGCCCACCGCACCCATGTTGGGACACCCCTCACACGCTTCGTGGCCTCACAGTGAGCCCCACCGACGGCCCCAGTGGCTGCAATGGTACGCGCCCGCCGCGCCCATGTTGGCACGCCCCTCGCACGTTTCGTGGTCCCATAGGGAGCTCCACTGGCGGCCCCTTTGGCTGCGTTGGCACATCCCTCACACGCCTTGTGGCACCATAGGGAGCTCCACCGACGGCCGACGGCCCACGTGGTTGCGTTCGCATGCGCCCGTCGCACCCATTTTGGCACACTCCTCACACGTTTCGTGCCCCATAGGGGGCTCCACCTGCGGCCCCAGTGGTTGCGTTTGCATGCGCCCACCGCGCCCATTATTGGCGCGCGCACACACGTTACACGCTTCTTTGCCCCATGGGGAGCTCCACCTGCGACCCCAGTGGCTGCGTTCGCATGCGCCCACCGCGCCTTTTTTTGGCGCGCGAGCACACACACACACACACACACACACACGCACGCACGCACGCACGCACGCACGCAAGCACG